CAGAGTCTTTATTCTGTCAATGCTCATGTAACTTATTTTATTTGTCACCTAATCAATAATTAATAAGCGTGAACTATCAGCTGTATGTTGAGATGAGCCGGAGAACAGATTCTCTCCTCCTTCCTGTGAAGTGTGTATTACATTATCTGTTTCGCTCAACACCTGGCGCTCCTATGACATGGCAGAGATTATTGCTCTTACAAGTGGTGTCACACATTACTGCACTTCTATCATGTACGCTCTGATTTGATGCATTTGTAATGCAAAATGCATTCTAAACCTTAGATGGTCCTGTCACTTTTACAGGAAGCACACAAAGGCTTAAAAAGCGTTAAAAAGTGCAGAAACTATCGTAACCAATCAGAATTCAGTTTTCTGATGTCAGATCAGTTCAGCTTGGAATCTCATCTCAATAGCATTGGGAAGTAATCACTTTGTTTTCTGCAGCTTTAATAATTTGGGCGGATCATTTTAGTGTATTAAAGAAGAGTTCCAGGTATGGATATTTTATATATATAGTTCCATAGGTCCAGCTTGGACTATCCCATACCTGGCTGATTCCCCTGAAAGCTGGAAATCACTGAGAGACCAAAAATCTGCATTGAGGAATAGAGCTTCAGCCAGGTTTTTATTTTTAGGTGTTCAAGTTATGATGCATGGGCGACTCCTCATATGCATCATAGACATTTATTATATATTAAGTTTATGGTTGGAGGACTTTTTTTCTTTAATCATTGAAGTAGACACTGTTACTCCGATGATTTCCACTAGCTTTTAGTTCCAGTGCCGAGCAGCTGCATGTCTGCTTACTAAACATAGGAGGTCTGCTGCTCAGTTTGGGCGCCAGTCAGAGAATGCTTTGCATTTCCTGAATGAATGCAAAGCCTTCTGTGGTTGGACAAAGGTGGAGAAGCAGGGCAGTGACATCATGTTCTCCATCTCTCCAGTCAGATAATGCTTTGCATTAATACAGAAAAGGCAAAGCATTGTCTGAATGGCTCCCATATATTGATGTAAGCACCTTCAGGATGTATAGGGCAGGGCTTGAAATTTCTGCTCACCAATGGCGAGTGGAAATTATGGTGGGGGCGAGTGTGTCCCCCTGGGCCGTCTTGCTGAGCAGGCTCAGAGCTCAGGCTGGATCTGTCATTGGCACTGGGAGTCGTCAGACTGCTCAATAGCTGAGCACAGTGAAAGCAAAGCAAGGAGTGTGTGCTGTGCTCTCTACCTCCCCCTAGAGTGCAGTGCCCAGATCTGTGAGTGAACAACGAAGTACTGCAACTTTTTATGGGGGGGGTGTTTGTGCGTGTCGGTGTATGCATGTACAATTCTTCATGTGTCTGTGTGTATGTACATGCATGTGTGTGTGTACATGTGTCATGTGTACATGTGTGTGTGTGTATGTATGTGTATGTACTGTGTGTGTATGTATGTACATGTGTCTGTGTATTTCTGTGTATGTACATGTGTCTGTGTGTGTGTGTATTTCTGTGTATGTACATGTGTCTGTGTGTGTGCATGTACATGTGTGTTTGTGTGTATGTACCTACATGCGTCTGTGTATGTATGTACATGTGTCTGTGTGTGTGTATTTCTGTGTATGTACATGTGTCTGTGTGTGTGTGTATTTCTGTATATGCACATGTGTCTGTGTATTTCTGTATATGCACATGTGTCTGTGTATTTCTGTGTATGTACATGTATCTTTGTGTATGCGTGTCTGTACGTGCCTGTGTGTGTATACATGTGTCTGTATCTGTGTGTGTGTGTATACATGTGTCTCTGTGCGTGTGTGTACATGTTTCTGTGTGTGTGTGTACATGTGTCTCTGTGTGTGTGTGTGTGTACATGTTTCTGTGTGTGTTGTGTATGTACATGTCTGTGTGTGTATACAGGTGTCTCTGTTTGTGTTTGTTGGTGGCGAGTAACTCTAAGGCCTGGCTAGTAGCTCAGGACTTGAAATTTTAAGCCCTGGTATAGGGGAATGTATACATTGATGTAAACACCTTCAGGATGTATAGGGGAATGTATACATTGATGTAAACACCTTCAGGATGTATAGGGGAATGTATACATTGATGTAAACACCTTCAGGGTGTATAGGGGAATGTATACATTGATGTAAACACCTTTAGGGTGTATAGGGGAATGTATACATTGATGTAAACACCTTCATGATGTATGGGGGAAAGTATACATTGATGTAAACACCTTCAGGATGTATAGGGGAATGTATACATTGATGTAAACACCTTCAGGATGTGCATATAGGGGAATGTATACATTGTTGTGAGCACCTTCAGGATGTATAGGGGAATGTATACATTGATGTAAGCAACTTCAGGATGTATAGGGGAATGTATACATTGATGTAGACACCTTGTATAGGGGAATGTATACATTGATGTAAACACCTTCAGGATGTATGGGAGAATGTATACATTAATGTAAACACCTTCAGGATGTATGGAGGAATGTATACATTGATGTAAACACCTTCAGGATGTATGGAGGAATGTATACATTGATGTAAACACCTTCAGGATGTATAGGGAATGTATACATTGATGTAAACACCTTCAGGATGTATGGGGGAATGTATACATTGATGTAAACACCTTCAGGATGTATGGGGGAATGTATACATTGATGTAAACACCTTCAGGGTGTATAGGGGAATGTATTCATTGATGTAAACACCTTCAGGATGTATAGGGGGAATGTATTCATTGATGTAAACACCTTCAGGATGTATAGGGGAATGTATTCATTGATGTAAACACCTTCAGGATGTATGGGGGACCATAGAGAGGAGGTCCATTACTTGCCTTCTCTTCCCAGTGTAAGGTGATTTTTCATCCCTTTGTACAAACACATTGTATGGAAAGGATAGTGCGTGTCTTTGTGTTCAGTGAAAAGTATATGAAGCAGTATGGGAGTTTTTATTTGTTGCTGCCATAAAACTCCCAATCCCTGGGATTCCTAAGAAGTGCTGTAGATACTCTTTAGATATTTGCCCCACGGTTGTGCGATGGATTCATGTCTGTGACGGTGAGGCTTATGAATATGGCGCAGCTTTGACAACTTTGACATCTCTCCTGAGAAGTTGTGGAGTTTTAGGGCTCGCTCACACTGCTCATACAATAAAATACTCAACCAGCTGTCAGTTTTGCCCTGCGGTGAGCTGCAGTTGTTTTCTGTGTGCTTTTGTTGTGGCTGGTGTTCATCCAATGCAGGCAAACACCAGTCACTGCACACAGTGCGAAGGAGGCCTTACAGGTACAGAATTTGGGAGAGTAATGGAAATACATCAAATATCCATTTCAGAGGAGCTTAAAGCAGTATTAAACCCAAAACCAAAAATGTAATCTATTGCAATTTACCAAGCATTAGATGGGTCTTCTTTCCCTCTGTTTTCACCTGGTGATCTGATCAATAATACTCCTCCTGTATTTGACTGCCTCCATTCTGGATGAAGGAGCACAGGGATACCTTCAGACACCAGCATTGTCATTCTGGGCAGAGGGGATTTTTACTCTCCTGATTAAAGATCAAAACAAAAAACAACACAGTGAAAAAAATGATGGTGCCACGCCCCTTTACATTTGATTTTTGATTTGATTGACAGCCTATGTAATGAGACACATATATATATATATATATTTTTTTTTTTTTTAAGTCCGCAAACGTGCAAACTAGAACGAAAAACCCGTAAGTGATCACAAAAAAAATGCAAGTGCGAACACCACACGAAAAAGTGCACTTAGGGGTGTGCTTTTGTCCTACCCCTAAAGGGGCTGGACCACTACCCTGATCCCCCGGGGCACAAGCTCCTGACAGGGACAAGGTTCCCATTTGGTCCTCCTGGCCAAAAGGCCTGGTGGACCACTGTTCCTTGTGTCCAGCCGAAGCCGGACACCCAATACTTGGTCAGGGGGCTCTCCCGAAGAGAAAACCCCCTAGGGATCAGGGGAGGAAGGAACCAAAAGGCCACACATCCTCCCCCTAGACTTCAGGGAAGGCCCGAGGACCCACACCCTCCATCCTGTGAAAAACACACACAAAAGCAAGAAAAAGTGACAAAACGTGGGAGTGAATAAATTAAATAAATAGAAAATAAAAAAGTGGCTGTGCCAAATTGTGCACAGACCAGGCCCTGAGGCCTGTAGCAAAAATTGCCCTGGTCCTAGCCAGAAGGCCTGGTCCTAAGAGCGCTGTGCAAAAAGAGTGTAAAAACAGTGACCTTGTGCCATCTTCACACTGTGGGGTCCCACACCCAGGTGTTACTAGTGGCACCCCTGAGGGCGGGCACTGAGTTTGCGGACTTTCTGCCTTCCCAGCCCCTGGCCAGACAAGGTAGATCCGTCCAAATCAGGAGGTACTGGGTCCTTTAGACGTTCCAAAGGGGAATTACTCCCAGGCCCCAGCTACGTGTGGACGTCCCGGTTTCTGTTCCCCCCGTAATAGCCATCCAGACCCCCATCATACCAGTGAGGGTACTATACAACAGCCATCCCCGCAAAGCTAGAATGGCTGGGAGCACCCCCACTGGACACTGATAAGAACAGATACTACACTTGATCTTAGCCAAAAGGCCGAGACACATGCCTGTGTGAAGGAGGTGTGTCTGCTGCTGCTCTGTAAAGCTGTGAGCTGCGACTGAGATCGATCCAAGTTTACTTTCCTCTCTCCTCCCCTCTGGAGATCTAAATTAAAAGTTAACTGAGTCAGTGGAGCATACAGAAAGAGAGAGACAGACATCAGAGAATACATAGAGAGATTCTGTAATTAGGTGGGAGGGGAATAGTGTGATGTTAGTTGTCTGCCCTCCAAGCTTTGGTGCTATACCACGCCCACAGATTGGCAGATTTCTGAGGCTACAACCAAATGGGGATGACTTTTTGAGAGGCACACACAATGTGAATTAGGTCATAACACCATTATCTACTAAATTGTGCAAAAGAATGGTGTTTGGGGGTTTTGGGCTTACTACCACTTTAACCTCCCTGGCGGTATTCCCGAGTGTAGCTCGGGGTAAAGTTTCAGTACCACAAGCGGTAACCCTGAGCTACACTCGGGATTACCATGCGGCGCTGCTCCGGGATCTGTTCTTCTCTTACCTTGTCCTTCTCCCACGATGTCCCTCCTGCAGTGTCCCCGGCAATGTCCTCCGGCAGATGCCAGCATCTGTCATCTGGGTTCCGTCCCCTGCAACGTCGGGACATACGTGGGGACGGAATGGCGGGAAAAGTGAAAATGACAAAAAGTGACATTCACTAAAATCACATAGTAAAACATTACTGTATCAAACCATTTCACATACATTTTGTCCCTAGTGCTTTGTCCTGTGCCCTGCCTGCATTTTTACTGTTCTTTCTGCCTGGAAACTGAGACACGTCCATGGCATCCAAAAAGCGTCCCTTTAGGTCAAAATCGGTTTTAGACCAGCTAGAGAACAGCGATAGTAAATTAGAACTACTTGCAGAATTGAGTGATAATGATTTGTGGGGAGATTCGTCATCAGACACTGAAAACGATTTTGCGACTTTGCTCAGTGATGTGCGAACTTGGCGCTATATTTCAAATTCAGTGTTTTTGGTTTAATTATATTATTGAATTAAATTTATTATTATATTATTTTTTTATGATTATTTATTAAATTATAATTTATGATTTAGTGTTTCAAATTTTAACATACCCGGGATGTTTACTAGACTCTTGTTAGAACAGATTTCAGTGAGTTATTCCTAAAAATTACAGGCCTACAATAAAAAAAATACATATTTCCATGCAAAAAAATGTACCACTTTGAGCACAGAAATATGGACATAATCAGACCGCTAGGGAGGTTAAAGTGGAACTTTAGTGGGAAAATTTTGTGTTATTAAACTCACAACAGTAAAATCACTCTGTATATGTAGTAAAACATGCTTGTTATCTACTTTACATCACCCCTATAGCAGTATTACTGCTACAGGGCGGCTCTCCTGTGCACGTACAGTGAGGAACAGAAGTATTTGAACACCCTACGATTTTGCAAGTTCTCCCACTTAGAAATCATGGAGGGGTCTGAAATTCATGTCATTGACCAGCTCCTCCCTTGTAGTTCTGGGCTGATTCCTCACCTTTCTTATCAGTGATACCCCACGAGGTGAGATCTTGCATGGAGCCCCAGTCCGAGGGAGACTGACAGTCGTCTTTAGCCTCTTCCATTTTCTAACAATTGCTCCAACAGTTGATCTATTTTCTCCAAGCTGCTTGGAAATTGCCCCGTAGCCCTTTCCAGCCTTGTGGCTGGAATTTGTCTCCGGTGTCTTTTGACAGCTCTTTGGTCTTGCCCATGGTAGTAGTTGGCGTCTGACTGACTGTGGGGTGGACAGGTGTCTTTAAAGAGCTCAGACAGGTGCTACTAAGTTAGATTAATGAGTGGAGTAGAGGTGGACTTTTTAAAGGCACAGTAACAGGTCTTTGAGAGCCAGAATTCTTGCTGTTTCTTAGGTGTTCAAATACTTATGTTCAGCAGTGCAAGACAAATAAATTGTTTAAAAGTCATACAATGTGATTTCCTGAAATTTTTTTTTAATTTCTGTCTCTCCGAGTGGGAATACACCTACAATGTGAATTTCAGACCCCTCCATGATTTCTAAGTGGGAGAACTTGCAAAATCGCAGGGTGTTCAAATACTTCTGTTCCTCACTGTATATATACTTGATTTTGCACTCCCGTCTCAAGGGGGCCAGCATGCGCTGCCTGCAGATTGCTTCTGCTGTGAACTGTCACGGCAGAAGCTTATCTTTTGAGTCCCACCAAATAGATGTTCACTGGCACCCACAGATCGTCAGAGAGGGAGGAAGAACATCTCTGTTGTGACAGGTGAAAGTGAACGTGTGTCCCTGCAGAGCTGGGAACATGATACATCACTTCCTCTGGTACCAGCACCATGTAGTGTTACACAAGCACATAGCTAGGCACACAATTAACCCTTTGATCACCCTAGATGGTAACCCCTTACCAACCAGTGTCATTAGTACAGTGATCAGTGTACATTTGTAGCACATTGTATGTGTGTATGTATATATATAAAAATTTTAGCATATGTCCCATAGTTTGTAGGTAACTTTGTATAACTTTTGCGCAAACCAATCAATTTACGCTTATTGGGATTTTTTTTGTTTTACCAAAATTATATAGCAGAATATATTTTGACCTATATTTATAAAGGAAGTTTTTTTTTTTGTTTTATTTTTTTATTTGTTGGATATGTTTTATAGTAGAAAATTAAAAATATTGTTTCAGGTTTTTTTTTTCAAAATTGTCGGTCTTTTTTGTGTTTAACACAAAAAGTAAACAAAGCAGAGGCGATCAAATACCACCAAAATAAAGCTCTATTTGTGGGAATAAAGGACATAAATTTCATTTTGGTGCAGCGTTGTATGACCGTGCAATTGTTAAAGTAATGCAGCGTCGTATCGGAAACATTGGCCTGGTCAGGAAGGTGGGTAAATCTTCCGGAGCTGAAGCTGTTATACTCACTGTGGAATCTAATGGGTTAATCCTCTGCTTTGTGTAAAAGGAATGTTTGATCCTGTCTTCTTTGATCCTCCTCTTGGTCCACAGTCCCAATCCATCTGGTGATAGAACAGAGCCTTGGGCAAAGCTGCACATGATCATTTTGGTGTGTATTGCTAGAGAGATTTATTTTTCCTTTGGACGGTGCATGTGATCAGCACAGGGACAATCATCGAGGGTCAGGGGTCCTTCAGGCTCCTAGGACAGTCAGGGGAGAATGAAAACTCCTCCTACAAGCTTTAACCAGTGCTGTGCTGGACATTGATAGAAGGCACAAGACTGCTCTAACTGCTGATCAGAGAAGGTATATAGCAGTTTATATTTACTAAAATAATTGCATTTCTGTGTACTGTGGGAGACCAAATATAGTGAATGCAGGTTCCTGGGTTGAGTGACCTTCTAGATCACTTTAAGCTGGCCAGTATTGCTATGTAAAACATTAAAAATAAGTGCCTAGACAGTAATGTTGTCTCATCCTGCCCCCACGTGCTCAGTTGTGCCAAAAATGTAGAGGCTGATCTGCTGACAGCCTAAAGATTTACTGCTGCTCAGGGACTCAGGACTTTAGCAAAATGTCAGCCTCCAGCAAGAAGAAACAGGAGGAATGTTGGAGGCAATTTTTGTAGTATAATTACACAGGTCTGCGACTAAAAAGCTGTTTGATAATTTTCATCTAATTTCCATGTATTTTGGTGTGCTGAAAACAAATAAAATATTGAAAAAACTCCTAGACGTCATGATTTGCCACAAAATGCTAAATTGTCTTCAAATTTATGAATAAATTTAATTTTTGGTATTTTTTTATATTATGGGTTTTTAACCAAATTTAAAGTCCAAATTACTATTAATTCATTCACATAAGTGCATTTAAGATATAAAATGCCCAAAAAACCTTAAAGAGGCTGTCTGAGTTATGTAAAAAAAAATATAGCACTGTAAATCTGATGGTCAGCAATATATACATAAGCTAAGCAGGTTTTAGGGAAAAAAAATTATATTTCCTCATTTCCCTAGTTCTCTTCTGGCCCTTTGTTGTTATTTGCAGGTAAACAATCTCTGCCCCTCCCCCCCTGCAAAGGGGGTGAATACAAGTGCTGCTCTGAGTGACATGTTTGACTACTGGGATACTCAGCAGCATGCTGTATGTGTAAGCCTCAGCCCTGAGTCTGTGCTTCTAATGATAGAAGGGGTTAATCTTTCCTGAAGAATCCAGTGGCTGGGATACCAAACACCCTTGTTTTCTGTGTCTATGGGACAGTCGAGACCAACAAAATCACTGGACCAAGAAGAGTTGGCAGCCGAGGGTGCTAACAGTCGGTGAAAAAAATGTCCTCCGAGAAACTTTGGTACCTTCCCATAAAGTTCTTCTACCACCTCTCCACATAAAATTGGGATTGATGAAGCAATTTGTAAAATCACTTCCAAGAGATGGAGAATGCTTCAAATAATTGGTTACCAAGTTTCCAGGCCTGTCAGAGGCAAAATTGAAAGAAGGTTTGTTCGTCGGACCAGACATTAGAAGGCTTATAGTTGATCAAGAGTTTGTCAATACCATGACGGATCCTCAAAAAGAAGGGTGGATTGCATTTAAAGAAGTTGTACAGAAATGAAATGTTTAGGCAATAACAAAGATCCTCACTACAAAAAGATCGTCGGAGGAATGCTGAAAGCATTTCAAGCTTTAGGTTGCCTGATGAGTTTGAAACTGCATTTCCTCCAGTCCCACCTTGACTACTTTCCTGAAAATTTGGGAGCTGTGAGTGAGGAACAAGGTGAACGATTCCACCAAGACATTAAAGAGATGGAAATGAGATACCAGGGAAAATGGAGCATTACAAGGATGGCAGACTACTGTTGGATGCTTCAGAGAGACATTCCAGATGCTACTCACAAGTGTAATGCACCAAGAGGAACCTCACAGGGAAGAAGAATCGAGTTTAGTGTGTGTAGGTGAACTCATTTCAGTTCAAAAAAGGATTTTCATGAAAAAATTGTAATAAAACTTTAATTTTATAAGTCTATTTCCATTTATTTTGAGGTATTGCCTTATTTAACATAGTTACCTAAATTGTCAGGAAACGTGATGTCCTATGACAAAATGGAGGTCATTTTCGGATTCAGCGCACCAAAAAACATAAAGATTATGTGGAATAACCAAAACAGCTCTTGAAAAAAAATTTTTTGCAGACCTGTGTTATTAGTGTGGAATGTATGTTCCTTGCTTAAGAACATTATTTTTTAGCAAGTTGTTATGGGTAAAGTTCCGCTTTAAGAGGATATTATTGACTTGGAATAAGTATGCAACCAGTGAAGCATTGAGGCGTCCATTTGGTTGTGGGTCAATAACTCACTAAGTATTGACATATAGATAAGCTGGACAGCATTGGAACCTGAGCACCTTTTTTTTTTTTAAGTTATGTTATGACAATGGGAGCGTGCAACAAATATAAAGTAGGCGCTATCCCAATTTGTTTTAAAAAATGTAAGTGCATTTTAAGGCCACATTCACACTCCAAATGTTGCTGGTAGTATTTGCATGTGAGAACCCCAGCAGGGGTCCCTGGTGATTAGCTGGTCCCTGGTGATTACCTCTCCCCCCCTTTGAAAGCAATAGGAGACACAGCTATGTAATGATCACCTGTGAGTGATTGGCCCTGGGCCCAGACTGACTGAGTCCAGAGCCGATATTTCACAGGCGATCGCTGAATAGAGTTTACATGTGAGCGGCCACCGGTTAGTTATGGAAACTCTCAGCC